AAATTAGCATTTCAAGGAAAACAGATTTTGAGAAGAGCTTTCTACTTTCCTTACATTGCTGCTGTGTAAAGTACATCTCTGCATTTAGTGTGATTCACAACTTTTACATTGAATGGCAATATAAATGGACCAAGGTGGGAGATCTGCAATGAAAAGTGCAATGAGCAATGCACTTCCATATACAATGTGCATTCATGAACAATCGATCCATAAGCACAACTGATTTTCTGCAACTTTGGACTGAATGAAGCTTCCCTTCACCAGACAAAAATTGTAAGCACTTCCGTAGGAGAAAGTATGTGCATGTTAGACACCATTAGGATTCAAGCCTATCTCATAAGTCATATTCTAAAATTATTGTGATTGATCTCCTTGTCATCCTATTTTTTCAACTGCTTTTAAATTTTTTCCCAGGCAAAAGCAAACTGCTGCAGATTTTCTTAATTTATACACTTTTCTGGTACTGTTCCATTATCTGGGTGGAGGCCAAAAGGGGACACTAGTCAGAGGAAAATAGTCCATTTTATAGAGGAAGGGGAGTTGAAAGAGTAATACTGTTTTCCACTGTTTTCCTGTTATTTCCTCCACCCATGTTGCAATTATCAAAACAACTCTAGTTTATTACATGGGAAGTGGCGGGGTGGGGGTGGGGGGTGGGGTGATAACCAATAAAAATGAGGAAAATGGTTTTTCTCCTTCAACCCCCTCCAGCATAAAATGGACCATTCTATTCTGTCTAGGACCCCTTTTGGAGTCCATCTGTATAATGGAACAGTACCGCTTTTCCTTATTAATAATTGCTGCCATCATGATTATTCTGTGATATTGACCATGTCAAATACCTCATCTTCATCTATGGTGTGTTGAAGGGTATGCTAGGTCAATGGATTGTGATCCACTTCCTGCAGTCTGGAGTTGTACATTTTAGTCATACAAGTTAGATCGTACAGTCTTACCCAATCATGTAACTTATCCAAATCAGGCCACATAATTAATATTTTGCTTTTATGTAATTGGCTCCAAGGTCATGTGTCAACACCAGTAAATAAAAATACAGTAAGATCCACACTGCAAATAACTCAAGCCTGTGAAGGGAAATGGTCTTTGAAAAAAATGTATGGTGTACTTGTCCTGGTAGTTATCATACAGTTGTTGTGGGAGGACCTAGGAAAATCCTAAAGAGGATACTTCTCTAAGAATCTCTAGGTCCTTTAGCACAACCCTATGGTATGCTGCGATCAGAAGTGAGGTAATTTAATGGCATTTGGTTGTGCCTGCAGTTTCACATAACTCGAGTATTACACTTACTAAAAGTGCTCTTCATCCACTTGCAGTTTTTGGTTATAATTTATTTTGTCCCTATAAAACATTATCTCTAACAGGACAGTATTTGGTACATCAAATCTGTATGCATGTTGTGATGAATTGCCTACCTTTTAGGCCAGAGGAAAACTCAAGAAGTAGGCCCAAGTATTTCAGCAGCCATTTTGTGAGATGGTGCATGGAGGCAGCCATCTTAGAGTACTCATTTCCTAGAGGGGGCAGAGCTTAAGAGCAGCCTGGAGGAAAATGTGGAGAGCCTTTGTGATTGGTTGGGAGAAAGTGGGCAGAGTTTAGTTAGAGTGCAGAAAAAAATTGCCTGAAAGGGTGCATTTTAAAATCTGACAGTTTAGTCAGGGTTTGATGGTTGAAGAAGAACGTTAGGTTTTGGGAAAGTTAGGAGAGGAAAAGTTAGTGAAGCCAAAGTGGTTAGTTAGAGAAGATTGATAGCTATTAGGAAGAATAGCTAGTGTTGAGATAAACAGATCCAAGGGAAAGGACTATTTGGTCTTTTAGGAATTCTAAAACTAGTGAAGTCTGCTAGTTTCCTAACAGAGTGAAGAGTTGTTTTTGGAACTATGTATTGAACTGTTTTAAGGAACTATAAGCTTCATCTCATTATTGCAACCGTTACACATAAGTGCCTGTATTGTTGAAGTTCACACAAATAAACAACTTTGTTCTTTGTTCATCAACAACTGTCTCAGTGTGTCTCTATATAAAGAAGTATTCTTCACAAGATAGGGAAACAGAATTTCCAGATTGGTGGCAGCGACATGTTAAAAGAATCTCATTGTTATTCACCTCAGAGTTCTGAGCCCTGAGTGCGAATCCAACACATTCCAGCCTAATTAAACCTCTGGTCAAACAAGAACTGAACTTTCCTTTTTAAATTTGGTGGTAGCCAGTGGTCACATGAAAGTTACCTCAGAATACAGTGTATTTGTGGCAAAGTCTCTACAGCCTCCAAACATTTAAGCCATTTTAAACAATAATCTATCACACATGTGTTGTTCACATTAATTTATTTGCCCCTTATTTGAATGAAAAAGCATTCCAGCAACAAACAGCAAATGCAAATAATAACTTCAGTTCAGCCATTGTCTTCCTGCAAATTCTGGTAATCAGGAAGTCCTACCACTCTTCCCTACAGCCCTAATTAGCCAACTCTCCTGCCTTTCCGAGTAAATGTGACATTCAGAGATGTTTCAAGGGGCTGGCCACCCACCCTGAGTGGATGGTGAAGCAGCCCACTGCAAACCCATGAATCGGGGTTGATTATCCTTACTGGACTCCAAGAGGGAGAGGAAAATCAACATTGCTCATCTTCTGTCACTGCACCACAAATAGCATGGATACAAATGAAACAAATCCATGGAGGTTAAATCTAACAGTAGTTATTAGCAATCATGACTAAATGAATCCATAACGTTTAGGGAAATTATACTGTGAATTAGGTTTTCAATCATAGGATAATTGTAACCACATCCCACCAAAAATGCTTGCAATTCTTTTTCAAATCCTCCCACTCCACATGACAGTAAGAGCTCTTCAGCAGACTGCCCCAGAGACCAGTGAGCTGTTGTGTTTTTGGATGTCTTAAAAAGAGCCTGGATGGCCATCTCTCAGGGTGCATTCATTATATATTCCTGCAGGGCTGGTGTTGGGCTACATAGTTTGTGGTATCCATTCCACCTCTACAATTCTATCATCCTAATCTGTTGTGCTCCCCCGCCCCCACTCCCCTGATTATTTGTTTTGTTTAGGGATAAGAATTTGGCATTAAGTGAAGTTTACACACATGATAGTTTAAAATGTCAGCTATTCAAATGGACTAACTGTGTGTTAAAGACAGCGTAGTTCTACCTTTGGCCCTGTTGTACATCTGTTTTTTTAAAAAACTTTTTTCTTGTACTAATAAGAAACAAGGTAGGAAGAGACTCAGTATTAATCTTTCACAGGGTTGCCATGATTTGAAGTCAACTTGACTCAAGTTAGCAAGAACAACACACTGAAAAATGACCAAAATCTTATCTAATGCATTTGTTGTATGTGATATGGCATTCCAATGGATAAAATCATGCACACCCAGAATTTGCATGTTTATGTATGTGTATATCTCTGTTTGAATCTAAACTAAGACTGGATCTGCATTGCCATATAATGCAGTTTCAGAATGCAGATTAACTGCATTGAACTGGATTATATGACAGTGTAGACTCAGGCTGGCTCTACACTGCCCTATATCCCAGGATCTGATCCTAGATTATCTGCTTTGAACTGGATTACACTACACTGCTATATATTCTGGGATAAATAGATAATCTCACATCAGATCCTGGGATATCACGCAGTGTAGATGGGGTCTCATATAATTTTTCAGCCCTGTTTTTCCAGTTGTCGATGGGGGCTGGACAGGATCTACCGAGTATCATCAGACAATGGTGGCTTGGCCCTACTCTCATTCCTCCCAAAATGGGGGGAAGCATCACGAGACACTTCCTCCTCCATGGCGGAGAGGAAAGTGTTTTTACAGCTAGGTCTGATGGAGCTACCTGCACTTTCCTCCACTCCCCTTAGCAGCAGCCCCGTGTGTTTTTCCACAGGACTGCTGCTAAGACTTGCCATTTAATCCAGTTAGCTGCAGTTATTTCAGGAGAAAGGAGGGCTACAATGCTGCCATCATGTCCTTGACAAGTTGCTATCAGTTCACACATAGTAAGGTGACAAACTTTGAGAAAGGACTTGTTCTACTTCTATAAAAGTTGCTAATGGAATGTCACACAGAGATTGGACTTTGTGGTATGATAGGCTTTTTGACCTAAGGTGTTCTTTGTGGTGAGCCAGCACTTGCAAGACATTTCTGTGCACAGAAAATGAGAATAATCAGTGGAACACTCCAAATATCTAGGACACTATTTTAACACATTTGTTTTGTCATAATTAAGTGCAGTGCAGCATATCAATTCATACCATTGGATGTGATGGGCTTCTTTCTTAAAAAGCATCATGCTAGTTTGTGAAAGGAACAGCAGGGGGAAAAAAACTCTGGTCATCAACGTTTAATGTATATTCAAGCAGCATTTGCATATGCACATAGCCACTTGTTGGATCAGGGCCCAAGTGCCTGACATCTTGCAATTGATGGGAAAACATATTTTAATTTTTGCATCATCAGCTATATATATGTGGTTATTCTTGTATCAACATGCAAAAGAGGAATGTATGAATGACATTTTCCTGGGAACTGTTTGACAGCTTTTGATTTAATCTTATCTATTGCTATGGAAATTATGGCTTAATTAATCAAAGCAGAAAAGGACTGATTTTGTTCCAAGGATGATCTCTATTCTGTTAACATGCATTTCCTTCCCCAGACTTTGACTTATATCACAATCTACTCTCTGATTTAGCCTTTCCGAAGAGAGCCACACATCCACATACTCATTATACGATAGCAGATATTTTCCATGTGCAGCGGTCTGTATGTTAATGTTTACTGGGGTGGGGGGTAGTTTATAACAAACTTGGACCCAGTAAGTACATTTTAATAGTTCAGTCTGCCCATAGGAAGTCTATTAAGGTGGACTGTTTGACTCATTAAACTTTGTCAAAGGCTCTCAAGTTGTCTTGTGTGCGGGAGGAGCCAAGCAGCAGAGTATGTCTGAGGTTGTGCTTCAAGCCAGGAGTGTAAGATGATCTCTCTCTTTCCCGAGCCCATCAGGCATCCTTTAGCATAGGGACACACTCGCACACACATTCCTATCAAGTCATCTTGTGAAAGACTGCCGGCTTCCAACTTGGCTTGAGTGTGCAACCTTAATAAAACACGCCAAGGTCTGCGAGAAAATAGCAGTTCAGCCGCAGCTAGGGCAGGAGAAAGAGACTGAGGCTATGCCTAGGCAGCTGACTCAAAGACGCTGCATGCTGAAGTGTAACAGAGGGGAAATGATAAATCCCAGCTACTATGCAATAAATTGCTCCAGCTTCAGCTAAGGAAGCCCTCTGTTATCATGAAATAGGTTTTTTTTAAGATAGTTATTATCTTAATTTTCTTTTCTTTACCATTTTGTTCCCTTAAAGAGATCTTTAAAGACAAAGCAAAACAAAACATAAGAGGGAAAGGAGTGAAAGTGTTTCTGTTCACACACACAAAAGAGGGCTAGTAACATGACCGTTCTCCTTGGCTTTGCTTTTATTGCTGCTGTCCTGACTCACATAGGCTGCAACAATCCACGCCGGGTGCCAGAGTCCAGCAGCACAAGGAGGTATAACCGGATTCAGCATGGGCAGTGCACCTACACTTTCATCCTTCCAGAACAGGATGGGAACTGTCGCGAAAGCACCACTGAACAATACAACACCAACGCTCTCCAGAGGGATGCCCCTCACATGGAGCAGGATTTCTCTACCCAGAAACTGCAACGCCTGGAGCATGTCATGGAAAACTACACTCAGTGGCTGCAAAAGGTAAGTGCTTCATCCCACCCCCACCTCCCACAACTTCTCACCCACGTTGTTTTGTGTTTTGATGTTTGCATGTCCTAAGCTTTTCTGATCCAGGAGGTATTTCTCATGAGGTTTGCATTGTATATATGGTTAGCAAATGTCATAGTGACAACATGCTGTTTGTTGTGAGATAAACTGAGAACAAAGCTTTAAGCAAATTTCTAGATTTTTTTTCTTTCTCTTCTAGACTTTGTGGAAGAAATAGTCTCTGCCTATCTTGCATGGATAGCTATAAGTAATTTTACCTTGACAGACCAGGTCCATATCTCTATTGGCATATAGTAGAAGCACGTTCTCAAAATTATACACATTATGTTTGGATGCATATATTGTCAATTGCTTTGGCACAGACACATCATTCCAGGTAGATGAAGATAGATGGAAAAGATGCATTATTTAAAACTGAAGTTATTTTCATTTATCATCAACTTATGCTAAAGAAGTTGTATTTCTGACACTGCTTTTTGTGATAAATGAATGAGTTAAAATAATTGCCCAGTGTATTGGGCTATAAGAAAGAATTGTTGGGATATTTCATGTGTGGGAGGAAAGAGGGATTGGGTTAAGCAAAAGCTCAAATTGATTAGTAAAATGTGCTTAAGTAAGAATAATAACACAGCTGGAGATCCTGAAAAACATACGCCCCATATTTCTTTGTAGAAATCTGGCTAGGTAAGGGGGGTACCTCTCACAATTAATCACTGCCATCCTAACATCAGCTTATAATCTGAATTATACAAATCATTTCATGCCTGAACTGAGAGATTGCAGTGTAAAAAGCAGCAATTCTAAGATCTGCTAACAAGTGGTTTGGATTCACTTTAACAGATCTTGGAACAAGTTCAATCTGCCAGGGATTCTGCTTTTTTTTCTCCTAATTTTCAGGTGCAAGTTCCCAATATGTGTATTATATTATTAAAACAGCTTTTGCTGTTTTCTGGATGGAAAACAGAATCCTATGCATGTTTCAAAAAGTTAAGTTACACTTCAAAAAAAGCAAAAATAAAAGTGTGTAAAGTAAGACTCATCATGATCAATACGATTTACTTCAATGAACACTGCATAGAATCTGAAGCTTTTGGTGCGATATTTTCTCACTTGGGATGAACCATAGATATAGAAGATACCAGAGCTTGTTCACATTGGGATTTTGGGGCTATAGCTCCCAGATTCCCCAAACCATTCTTGGCACAATAGGAGAGAAGTATACTCTATATTCCCCATGAAATGTGAAAGTCCTCCACCTTCCCTCTGAACCCAAAATTGTTTACTTCTGAGCAGAAAAGTGCATGGTGCATGAGTAGTTTCTGAAGCTTTATCATCGAGGCCAAGCTGTCATTGAGCATAGCTTTGGGCAGAGCTATACTCAATGAAGTTCCTTTTCTAAGATGTGGAGGGAGAAGTCATCTAGCTCAACCCACTGCTCAATGGATATTGTGGAATGTAGGATGCACCTATAACTTTCTTGACTGTCAATGATCAAACTTTTGCTAAAATGCTCTTTACCAAGTCCATTAGCCCAAAGTGATCTGTTCTACTGCTGAAATGATACTTAGGAACTTCTTTCTAAATTGTGGTCACTATCCACCACCTTGCCATTTCCACTTTCAGTCCTACCTTCTGAAATAAAAGTGAAACTTTTCATATGGCATTCCTTTCTATGTATGAAAGTGGTTATGCACCATTGAATTTAAGAGTGTTTGGTTTCTAGTAGACAGTATAGAAGACTGCATTGTGAATGATCTATAATGAAACTCATCAGAGATGAGGACAACTAAAATGAACAAGGATCTGGAGAACATGCCCTATGAGGAGTGGCTTAAAGAGCTGGGCATGTTTAGCCTGAAGAAGAGAATGCTGAGAGGAGATATGATAGCCATGTATAAGTATGTGAGAGGAAGTCATAGGGAGGAGGGAGCAAGCTTGTTTTCTGCTTCCCTGGAGACTAGGACACGGAACAATGGCTTCAAATTACAAGAAAGAGATTCCATCTGAACATTAGGAAAAACTTCCTGATTGTGAGAGCTGTTCAGCAGTGGAACTCTCTGCCCTAGAGTGTGGTGGAGGCTCCTTCTTTGGAGGTTTTTAAACAGAGGCTGGATGGCCATCTGTCAGGGGTGCTTTGAATACAATTTTCCTGCTTCTTGGATGGCCCATGAGGTCTCTTCCATCTCTATGATTCTATGATTCATTTTCATTGAGAATTCTCTTCCCTGACACATTGCAGCCTACAGAACACCTCTGAAAGAAAGCACTTGCTTTTTGTGTTTTGACGTAATCTGTTTACAATTTGATGTACCAAATTTCTTTTCTCTTTTCATCAGCATGTAAACAATTTCACTCAGAAGCATAGCTCTTGGATTTCATAGGGGGGAGGATAGCAAACCAAAATGGCTAGACAGTCTTGAAAAGATTTACTCAGAAAAATAAGCCCTATTAAATGGGTGAGAGTTGCTCTTAGTTCAGTGTATATGTGCATGTGTGGGTGTATGGGAGACTGTAGCCAGCAACTGAAACCAATCCTAAATAGATTCTTTTGGAAGTTGGTACACTGAATTCAAGGAGGTGATTACTTCCAGGTTTTGTGGTGGTGGGTGGGTGGGGAAGAATAGCCTGAAAATTGCACATCCAGTTTTAGCAAGTAAAGGACGAGAATGAAGAGGTAGACACGGGAATTTTTGTGACATAATGATTGTTATTTTGAGCTATTTTTTTAAATAAAAAAACCCATTATGTCCAAGAGTAAAAGCTGTTTCCTGGTGCTAGTAGTGCAGTTGGAGTTGTGTACATTTGTATGCATCTTTGTGTGTTGTCTTACATGTATGCTTTTACATTTGTCAAAAAAAGGTTGCCCTGCAAAATTTCATCTAATGGTTCCATGTTCTGTGTTTGACCACTAGGGACTGAGCTAAGCCCACTGTTTTGCCTGCAAACTGCAGAGGAAGAAAAATGACTTTGGTGGGGAGACCTCCTCTAAATTGCCATTGACCCTCATGTTTTAAGAGGAAAAGATAGATGGTTAAACATGTAGTTAGTGACAAAATGGTATCTTCATGGCTCACATTCTTCAGCGGTTATCTGAACTTTGAAAGTAGGTGAAAGGTTTCCCATTAGGTCCTTTAAAAGTAGCAAGTGGTCAGAGATCACATATCTTTGCTTTTCAGTTTTTGGCAGAATGAAAGGACATGCTTTCCAGGGTGTCTGTATTTGGAAGTGGGCATTAGGGAGGGACAAAATGGGTCATTTCAATCCATTTATTTGTGTACATTGTAGCCTACATCACTACATGAGCCATTCATTGTTTTGCTGCTGTCGGCGCAAACAATTTAAACCCCAACTTTCCCATCCAATAAATGAAACTTTAATTGGAAAGAATATGTACTTGAGAACCATCGAAAGCTGCAAAGCTAAGGTAATGTCACCTAATAATTTTATGCTAAAGTAATCAGTTCCAATTATATATTTATATTTATATCCCGCCCTTCTCCCCACAAGGGGGACTCAACACAGGCTCACATGAGCATCAGAGGATGCTAACAGCATAAATACCATAAAAATTACAATTCACAATAAAATCATTTTAAAACATTATACAACATCATCAGTAAAATTTAACAATAAATTAATAAATTAATGTGCCAGTAAAACCAAACCGAGCCGGGAGAATCCAGATCGCAAAATCCAATTGTGTTAGTATTTGAATGTAATATAGCCAAAGATTGAGTAAATGGGAAATACTAGTCCCAGAGCTATGGCCAAAGTACATCATATTAATTGTGTAAAAAACCCTATCCAGGTTTCTTACATAGTGGGTTTTTTAAATCAGTGCTTGTGTCTATGTGCGTTCTTAAATCTTTGCTGTAGCATATCACACTCATTAAAACTATTTAGCATTAGAAGACATCAGAACATATTACTTCTATTACAACATATCCCAAACACAAGTTTTGTAGAGCTTGGAAGGGAGACGGACGACATAAAAAAGAACTGAAGTATGGATTGTTTAACTAGGAAGTTGACATTGCAATGGTCTTAGCTTAGCTAATCTGGAAGAAATGCAGTTTGATCTGGTTTTTTTTTTTAAAAAAAAGAGAGAGAGTAGATTTTGGAAAACAAAATAAATATTTTAAAACCCTTCTTGCAATGAGCTGTCACTTCAAATCCCGCTGAAGAGTTCCGTGCCTGACTGTAAGCAATTAAGTTTGGGTGTCGTCCAGTGAAATTTGCATATCCTTTGTTGATGTTTAAGTGATTGGTTGGACAAGGGACCAAGTTAGGAGTGTCACAAAGAGCATTTTTGCTGAAACTACCAGAAGATGATAGCTTGATAAACATATTTGCAGCTTTTCCTTGTGGTATTTATTTTAAGAAGAATAACTTCACTTATCACTTAACCTTTGGTTTTACAACTGCCATGTTTCTTCTAACAGAGTAAAACAGACTACACACTGTTGTGTTTATTTCTTGCAATAACTGGCTATCATACAGCATTGAAATGCTTAGGTTGTAATTTCCTTGTTTAAATATAGTCAAGGAATAGATTTCTGTAATTTTTAACTTGGCAACTTTTCAGGATTTTTCTTCCCCATGCTGAACTTACCCAAATGTATTGTACAACTACAAATGGTTTTGCAACTATACAGATGTGTGTTTATCCATTTATCCCTCTGCACACTGTCTGTGATTGCAATAGTATCTAGAAGAGAAATGGATAAAGTAGAGCAATGACAAAATGTGACCAACATTTTTAGCAATTCTTTTATTATCTACAGAAAATTAAAATACCAGTAGGTCTGGGCTTATTAAGATATGGACAGAGTAACCTAGGGAACTGCCTTATATTTAGCTGGTCCGTTTGCCCATGTAGCTGGTATTTTCTATGTGGCCCACATGGATTGGCAAAAGATGGCCCATGGGATCCATGTGGCCTAACCTGTTTTTGCAGCTGCCAGTTCCCCAAA